ATTAGACCGGAAAATCAGAAAGACAGTGACACAATTATGTGCATGATTGGTATCCCCTCTGCCAGTCACTTGTGTTCACTTCAAGGTAATTCATTTGACACACAATCTCCTTAAAGCTGAGGAAAATCCTACTTTCTCCCAAGTCTGGATACGAAAGAATTATTTCTGCAGGAAAAGCCTGTCAACATCCGCTGCCAATCTCCAGCCAATTCTCATCTACACTGGATTTTGCCTCACACTGTCAGAATGAAAGTATTTCTTTCCCTCCAGCTGGACCCGAGAAACAGATGAGCTATGATGGCTTTACTGTGATTGAGCTGGGTAGTTTCACAGACCTGACTTCCAGGCACCAAACACTGGGGTCCATGGCATTATTTGAAAAGAGAAAGAGTTTCTCTTGGTGTCCAAAGTCAATAATACCACAAGATAAAAATAAAAATGTGTGGCATTGGTGTGTGCAAATTGGTTGCCTTGTTCACTTACAAACAAATAGTACAATTTACATTTATATAGCTTTTTTTTTTAACGTCAGTAGGATGTTTCAAAGCACTTCCCAAAACTGGCTGGGCTGGATGGGGAGAAGCTGAAAAAGTTGAGGAGGAGGTGAAAAGATGACCAAAGACATACAGTCACTACGCTTCACAATAAGTTCTTGTTAAGGTCAACTATGTCATAAGGTGCTATATCAAATGCAAATATTATTATAATTGTCACTATTCTGGAGAAAGTTTAATAAAGTTTAGTGCCCCGAGACACAACTAAATGCAAGTTGTTGCTAAAACAAATGCAGCCTGTTAAGATGGCTCACAAACTTCAAACTGCAAAAGATAATGCTAAATGGGATGCTTGTCTCTTCTCTCTTTAGACTGCAACTGCTGACAGAAGGATAAGGGGGACATTCCAAAAGCCTCAATTGCATTCATTCAAAACACAATATTGCTTTAGATGCAGTCTTCATGAGCCAGCCTTCTGCTTGGCACCCACCTGGCTCAAATAGATGGCTGCAAAATTTTTCAAAACAGCTGTCATCCTCAGATTAACAGCAGATGGGCAGGTACTGGACTGGACATTGACTAATGACTTTTTAAGACCACACCATATGGTTGGACCAAAAAAACAGGAAAGTCTGAATGGGCCTATTCTGTGCAATTGAGGCTTAAGGAAATGATGCTAAGGCAGGGAAGTGTGTCAATATTGGGGTGTTGACATCAAATAGGCTCAGAGCCATCTTGTATTATTTATAATGATAAACAACTGGTGATCAGCGTAATCCTTAAAATGGACTTTGTACCATAGAAATGAGAAATGGGGGGTAGGGGGAAGAGTTACTACATGAAGAAGAGTGACATTGTGACAGGGATCATTAGTAAGTGACTTTGTAATAAAGCAGAAACTAGGATATAAAGACTGAGCCATCTGGAATAGTCTGTGGGGATACCCAAAGGGAACAAGCTTAAAATCAGAACAGTGAGTGTAAAACTGGCCATTCAGGGAGAGTTTAAACCTGTAGAGCAAGGCTGAATTCAGTCGAACTGTACACGTGGCTCCTTTGGGTATTACCACAGACCCCCAACATCTCAACCAGCAAGGCTATTCTGTCTCAATTTTGTATTCACTTTTCTGCAAAGCCACTTTTCTGCATTGCTCACAAAAAAAGTCTTTCACATTAAGATTGAATTGATAAATTTTTCACAATTCTGTGCACCTTAAATTTTAAGACAGAATGGCGACGACTAAGTGGAATTTGGTAGCCTCTGGTGCCTCCAGTATAGAGAGTGTCAGTATTCACACTGAATGATTAATCCCCTGTTTGCAGAAAGGGAGGAGGGGGTGAGTCCCAAGGATGCTCGTCACTCAAATCTGCCTGCCACCAACAGGATGGTTTTCATCAGCTCTTAGCAAGGTTGCTGTTTAGAGCACCTCCTGATAACAAAGCATTCTGCCTTGGGTGAAATGGAGCACGATCTTGACTTGCTACAACGCATCTCCTGTCAGTTGTGTGGGCTGCTGTCACAGATCAAAGTCTGCAACAAATGCATTAAATAGCACCACTCGCCAGATGTCAACTGGTACTTTTTGGACTACGTGGATGCAGCCTGTGCCTGTGAACAGAGTTAGTTTTATTTGTTGTACAGTATGTCAAAAACACAAACCATCTCACTACAACTTAGGTGCAGCAAAGCAAGCTTCCTCACAAGGCTTGTATAGCAATAGCAATTCATTTCCTTTCCAATCGGAAATGCTTTCCTATTGATAAATTTCTTTTGCCGAAAGAATAATGTTTCAAAAATAACCTAGGTGATTCAGCTCTGGTGTTGAAAGAATAGCACACTCCTCCTCCAAGGAGTAATGAGCGATTATGCAAGTAATACAGCATGGACTAAAGAATTCAATCATCTCTTTGCTTCACTTCTATCCCTGTGGATACATTGTAGGTAATTGAAAAGTGTAACAGATCAGTGGCCGTGGTCCCATCAGCTGGGGAAGAGCATCTTGCTCAGGGCAAGTTGATGATACGTCTGTCTTCCGATAGAGATTTGACAGGTAGCCGGAGATTATCCGATCACATCTAAATTATTAGGGATTGAGTTGTTAATTCCTGAAACGGTACTTGCTGCATAAAAAAAAGGTAAGGTGTTCACCTACAAAACACACAGTTACCACACCTAACTGTATATTGTGTGAAGCCCTGTGAGACATGCTCTCTGTGTGAAAGGAGCTATATCAAATGTAAGGATTATTAAATGCCGTTCTAGCCTTTAGGAGAGGATTTTGCTAAGGTTACCTGCAGGCTCATCTTAAATTAATTTAAGGTTTGTCTCAAGATACACCTCTTGGTGACTGCCTTTCAGTCATCTTTCCCCTCCCAAACCCCAAAGCACCCATCTCAGCTCAGGCACCCAGACAGAAGTGTCAAGCATTTTGGGATTTCCTCCTGATGTGAAAGGCATCATATAAATGTATTGTAAATATGTATTGTATTGTAAGAAAACCTCTGAGAAAGCTTTTTTGAATTGTAACTGCGCATGCACCAATGCTATTGCTGAAAAAAGCAAATACTGGCACAATCTCTCCTCCATCTCTGCTTCATCTCCCAGACAATGCTGTTCTGAGATGTGGAGTGGGATTATTTTCTACAATCTGCCACGTTAATGAGAAAAACAAGGCCTCGTGCAGGTTGTAAACCTCTGGTCTCCAGAAACACTACAGTGGAATATCCGAACAGTATTTTACTTTATTCTTCATATTTTATCACAGTATTTGTAATGTTGTTTTGTACCAATACTTTAGCATCACACCTCCAATCTCAGTCTTTTGTACAACATCTGAATGCAGTACTGATGTCTTCCACATCATACATAATGTGGAAGAGTCAGGCCAAGATTAGAAAATAACCACTGATAACACCAATTTCTGGAAGTTCTGCGAGTAAATAAAGTTAAAATGTCCTTGGTAACTCAATAATAAACCTGCAACACATTGTAGGCTATTCAGAAAACATATTCTCACTGCTGAGGAACACCGGCACCACCACTAGCTGGCCAATCTGACACTGTAAGCACTGGGGAACAGCACAGAGTTTGGGATCAACAGAATAAAAATAGTAAATGCTTTGAAGGGTTTTAGCCCCGAGTCACCAATGAAGAGCGTACTGCAGTTCTCCAGGCCTCTTCCTTGCCCTGAAGGAGTATACTTGAGAATTATACACAGAAAATCACAGCCAGTGTAGGTTTCATTGCACCAAACTGCTACTTACCACATGTATTTAACTATATTTATTATCTTCTGCCGCAAGGTCAGTTTATGAATTAACTCAAAGCCTTTATTGTGGCACTAGGAGAAATCAAAGCTCTGTCATTGAGAAGAACCCATAAGAGCAGCCAAAGGCCATAAAGCTATATTTTTGTATACTGTACTCATCCTTTGAAGTTATAGTACTGGGTCTGTTTATAGCTTTAACTTTATTGCTTGAAAGCATCAAAGTTTAAAGCTTTCTGCGGTAAAGCAAAACATGTAAAATGTTACAGGCGAAGTAGGAAAATGTACATTAATGTGAGCTGCAACCTTTTAAGTGTTAATAAACTCACATTCTAACTAACCATAGTCAAATAATGTATCAAAATTATTAATGAAACTTGAGACATGCGCCACCTGGATTTCAGCACCACTGCCCCAGAGCCAGGGTAATAGATAATCTACAGTGTACAGATCCAGTAGAGAGACACATCACTAATCCAAACGTATCCTGCTATTACCAAATATAGCGGGTGTTTTTTTTAATCTTATGGGCATTTGCAAAGGGGTTTGTGAAGGGTTTGTAATGGCACCTGTAATGACCACAAACTAACTAGGTAATTGTTCAATATTCATCAATGGGTTTTGTATCAATATAAACAAAAAAATGGATTGAACATTTCAACCACACCACAAAGCATTTTCGAAAAATGCCTCAAAACTATTGTATTGCAATAAGGTTCACAAATCATACACAGCCCTTTACAAAGGGTGGCATTTGCTCTTGAATTTCCAAATTGAGCTGAACTTATACTTAAAATAATGATTGGCAGTTTTCTGTCTTCCTGGGATTACTCTGCAAACATGGGAAAAGTATTTGTTAAGTTGTTTTTAAAAGAGTGCAAAGGTTTTTGAATGGATTAACTATGTTCCATTTTCCTTGAATTGGGACAAAGGTTTCAAAACGGATTGTAAAATCTACTGCTATCATTTAGAAGCTCACACTGAATACTTCAATACCCCGGCTTTAGGTAAGTTTTTACAGGTTACCTCACAATCTTAAAGGAACATAAAATGACTGAATATTCTGAAGATTTTAAAAATCCTTTTTCAGCAAAACATTTCTCAGCTTTTTATGATTACTTTGGAGGGGCCTCAGTGAACCTGTAGAGTGTATCTGCACATAAATGTCCCTATAATCTCCAGTTTGCAGACATGGACATATCCCGAAGGCAGTAGTGATAAACAGCAGCAGTAATACACACCGTAATCAGTGATCTTACAGGACACCAGGTATAGCTCCTTCAGGCTCTGTCCTTCCTTAGCCACGAATTCCACACATCTGTAAAAACAAAAACAAAAAGACGTGGACAGATTAATACAAAATTGGGGTCAAATGGTTTTCAGGTTTTCAAATGGTTAGGCAAACAAGAACTCTCAACACAATATCTCCCTGAAACAAACAACAGAGTTAGATCCTCTTGACTCATTTGGACTCATTTGGTTAATTTTAAGAGGTAGCAGTACAGTTGTCTATTCATCGCGGAGGTTCAGCACATGGATCTGGTTGCACCTTATGACGGGAATGTGCACACTGTCAATAATAACCCTTGCATTCAATATAGCCCCTTATCACACCGGAAGGACATCTCAAAGCTCTTCACAGGATATTCTGTGAGATTGAGTGACAGTGTATATCTAGACAAATGCGGCAGCACAATTGTATACAGTAATGTCCTACAGCCATGAAGTGAATGACCAATTTTGGGGATGGGGAGATTGTTAGCCAGGACACTGGAAGAACTTGCTTTTCTTTTTGAATACTCATGGGATTTTTTACATCCACCTGAACAATCTCAGTTTAATATCTAATCTGAAGAACAGCATCTCCAACAATGCAGCACTCTCCCAGCACTGCACTGAAATGTCAACCGAGATTCTGAGAATTCAAAGTCCCAAAGTAGGGCTTGAACCCACAACCTTCTAACTCAGAGGCAAGAGTATTACCAACTGAGCCAGGCTGACAGCTGTCAGCAAATATGACAACAGGTACCATAAACAACCAGAAGTAAATGGCTGATTAATCTGGAGAATTGTTGGCCTGAACAGCAGGAGAAAATTCTTTCTTTTTTCAAACAGTAAACATCCACCTGCCAAACAGGCAGACAGAGTCTTGGTTTCAATGATTCATCTGAAGAACACTACCTCCAACAGTGTAGACACTGGACTGGATCCAAATGGGTCTTGGATCCACAATCATTTGGCCTAGAGGAGAGCGTGCTACCAACTAAGCCAAGCTGACACCAAGTAACATGCTGACCACATTTCAGAAACACAAGGTGAAAATACCATTGTATCATGCAGTCATCAACCAGCAGTTATGCATACAGATCCCGCACTCAGATAGATGGAAGTGTTGGGCTGTCACTGGTTTGAAGATAAATTTATAGCCAAGTTTGTGATAATAAATCTAGGATTTGGCATTGGTGACAACTGCAGGCAGTTAATGAGGAAATGCAACCATTGTTCCCAGGACCAGAGAGCAATCCTTGGAGACCTTGTTATGGTTTACGATGTACTCATGAGCGAGTGAAAGCTAATTAGAACTGGCGGACACTGGGAAGCATCTTTCACTTTCAGGATCCATGTCTCAGATTACCCCAGAGCTTAAACCAAATTGAACGCTAAGAGACACTTTACTAACTGATTTTTTGAGCTGGGTCTCGGCACGTCTATGTTATGCTATTAACGTTATTTTGTGTGCCCTATCTCAGACAGTGAACAGACAGCACGATAAAGTCACATCTCCAACCATTCCTCTGATAAATTGAACTTCTACGGGTGGCATTTCAGTTCCCATCTCCCAGCAATTGGTGAGAGTAAACAAGTCTCTGTGGCTTTAAACAACCTCTCACTCTGTTTAAAATAATAAAGGGGTGGGGGGGAGCGCAGGAGAGAAACACTTTAAAACTGAGAATACAGGGATTCAAGGACATCATTTTAAACACAATATCCCATTATTATTGTAGTGATGGTCTCGCGTCCTTGCTCTGATGTTGGCACGAGCGCATTGAAATGTTATCTTCAGAAGCTGAATCTGAATTAGGATCAAACAAAAGTAAACAGAACGGTCAAGGTCTCATTGGGTGAACATTGACCGAAGAAAGAAATATTCATTTGCCAGGGGAACTTTACATTTCATTCTGCTTCGTGTCATGTAATCCAGAACACAGGAAAGGTTAAATAGATTAACACTGACTGCTCTGCACTTCACAAGACAAGTGTTCTTTTCAAACCTATCTTCTAAAAATCGCTTAAAACACTGCCCATGTGATTTAACCCAGGCCAAGTGCACAGCACAGCAGTGAAATGCAAGGGAACCCTGTACCAGCCACCTGGTGCGATTAGATTCTATCTTTACTGACTCTTTGGGATCTAAAATGAGGAATTTGCCAACTGGAAATTACAGAAGTAATAGTGACTTAAGATTTGTGATTGTGATTGGCAATTTGCTTTCTTGTCTGAGAAAAGGTCCGAAAATCCCAATAAAAGTTGGAAACGACCTGCTGGATGGATGTTGCTGGTGCTGCTATGGAATTACTCTCTGGGATGTGCAGGAGTGGACACTCAACAGCTGCTGGACTTTCACTGCCTGTCCCAGCAATGCAGAGTTTGGGGGCTCATTGTGTAGTGAATGGCGGATTGCAACCTCATCCTGCTGCTCTGCGACACAGGGCATTGGAGGATGAATGCAGTTTGCTTTCAAGCTACTAGGAACAGTTTATCTGAGGAAATTGTGCAGGATAAGACTCTCATTGCCCTTCTACAGACTGAATCAGTGGTAAAAACCACAGTGGCTCTCACTGCACACCTGAGATGGAATATGAATGGCAATGCATAAAACTAAGACTTTCTCATCTGCTATGTTGTGTAATCCTCCTGTAACATTCATTCTTCAAAGAAAAATGGGACTAGTAAAAATAAGAATTCATTGACGGACAGAATTCAATAAAATGTTGAACGGATTTGATATTGCCCTCCCTGGTCATTTGAAAATACTTCAAATGATTCACACAAGGAATTACTTTTTGGGATTTTAGTATCTGTCGCTAAGTCTGCAAAAGGTTTAACAAAACATGATGTGCACTGCTTAATTATTTCACTGTGTCATTGGTAGATCCACAGGCTTAATTTCCACCAGTACTTTGTTTTGTCTGAGGAAAAGGCAGGTAGATGAAGCTGAAAGAATTACTTTCTCAAAGAGCCAGCACAGAAGTGTTGGGCCAAATGACCTTCTTCAGCACTGTAAATTTCGATGGTTCTAGGGTGCTGTGCTGTGCACACACCCTATGCCATTCCTGCATGTGAAGCCTTCTGACATCCCCTTTCTCCTCGCAGGAACCATGAGAAACAACTTTAGCACAATGCTCATTGTGGAAATTAATCCAAACGATTTTCAACTTCTCTCCCCTGGCATACTCCAACATTTTAGTTATGACTGCGCCGAGATCAGCCATGTCTGATCAGTTCATTGATTGTAACTGAAGTCAGAGTCGCCAGATATGGCATCCAACCTCAGCTTGAGATCAGCACACTTGGAATGTCACTTCCTCAGTAGCAAAACAGAGAATATGGTTTTGACTGTCTTATTGTTCAGGGTTCTCCAGATTAAAAGATCTCTTTCGCTCCGAGCCTCCTTCGCTATCACTGTTTGCTCCGATTATAACAGCTGGTGTAGAGCAGGAGTTTGTGGGCTACGAAGGATCAGTATCACTAGGTGGCATCTCTGTTCACATCCCATTGTCTGAGCGGCAGAGAACAGTGACATGAAGGTCCATGTATTGTAGCCAAGCTGTTTAACAATGAGAAACGATTTTCATGAAAGCAGCAGAGAAATGCTTCTGCTTTACCTCCAGCTTCGGCTTCACAGGCACAGGTCAGCTCAGGGTCTCCATCCAGTAGCTGTGCATTCCTGTCCTCCACCCACTTTCCTCTGACTGCACAGGATTGATTGACGGATGTAATGGTCTCTGAGTCCATCATTGTACCTGAACCTAGCATGACCTCAGAGAACGGTTTAATCCCCGCTTATTAAATGATCAGATTCCACTTGGCTATTCCGCTAGTAGTATTGTGTTGCTGTTATAAACATTATATCCTAAATGTAATCCCTACTCTGCGATGAGTTAAGCTAATCTCAAACCAGAGCGCCATTGCCAGGAGATAATGTTGGCCTCAGTATCCATGGGCTAGGGATGGGAAAAAATATCCCATTATAGCACACAGCCTCCTCAGATTCTGCAAAATTGCAGCAGAATTCAGTGCTAGCAATGAGTCCGTGACCAATGTACCAGTGCATCTGATGGTGAAAACAGTGATTTGCAATCGCAAACTGCAAGCAGTGAAACAGCAACACCCCCTCTCCCTCCACTGAAGAGACAAAGCAATCCCCCGCAGTTAGTGTGCAACAACAAACAGCAAAATAAATCTTATCGTCTCAGACTACAGCAAAACCCTTTATTTAATGATAATCTTAATATTTCATATAGCGCCTTTCACGTTGTCACATCTCAAAGCACCTCACTGTAAAGTGGAATGGTAATATTTTGTAGACAGACTGATTATTTATCAGGAACGACAAATATTCAGGAGGCAACATGCTTCCGTCGCTAGCAAATGCTTCGAAGCTAAACTTTAAAGAAAGCAAATGGAGCTCTAGTAAATAAAGTTAAATTTAGCTGGGTTAAAAGTACTTGCCCTCTTTCGCTTTTATTCTCTCAATGCAGTCTGAAAAGACTAATCAGTGAAGTATTTTGCCCTCCAGCATTTCCAAGGCGTTCTGCCGCCACTTGTCTGTAAAATTATAGTTCAGATAGAGATTTGAATTCTACTAGAATTATTTGAGGAACCAAACTAACTAGGGGTGAGGGCTCCCCAGTGGATACAATTTACATGAATGTTGTAAGGTGTCTGATACCATACAATACAAATTTACATTTATAGCACCTTTCATGTCAAGAAGACATCCCAAAACGCTGGACAGTCTTAGGTTTGCACCCGAGCTGGGGTGGGGGCCAAGGGTCTGGGTGCAAGGTGGGGAAGATGGCCGCAAGAACGGTTAAAGAGAAAAGTCTTGAGGCGGACCTTGAAGGAGGCGAAGGAAGGGGTGAGTCAAAGGGACTTAGGGACAGTGTGAGGGTGGATAACCTGATAGTCCGATCACTGATGGTGGGGTGGGAGACGCGAAGCAGCCCCCAAGTGGAGGGAGTGACTGGGTTTGTCAGGTTTGAGGAGGTTGCAGAGGTAGGGTGGGGTAAGACCGGGAGGGATTTAAACATTAGG